TACACTTAAATATTGAATATAAAGTAAATTAAAATCTGCACTTAAGTTTTTTCGATTCGGTGATCGACATAACCTGTCCCAGCGTTCTCAAACGCCTACCTCAATGGATTCAATAATGAATCTGATTGGTTTATTTGATCAAACTAGCCAATTAGATTTTTTATTGAATTCATTGAGGTAGGTGCGAACGACTTTATTATTTGCCAAAAATTCGCACACCTGATCCAATTTAAGAGATCCCAATCCTGATTTAATTAATTACTTCCGCTCACGTGTACAAGTCGTTATTAATTGATATAATACGGTTGTTGTATAACAAGTACAACTATAAGTTCGCTTGGAGACGGGAATCCTTTTTTTCTTTTATTATTATTAAAAAATAGATGCATTTTTTATACATTATAATAATTAATATGAAAGGGAGGCATGTCAATATACACACTGACTCATGTGGTGGGCTTTAACAATCACGATACTAATTTAGTTAGATGATATTACACCAAAAATGGAAATTATAAAACTAATTCATTACGCCCGGTTCACTATTGGACCTATGAGAAAAAGAATTATAAATGATTGAAATTGAAAAATTAGATTATTATTACGTATTATTATAAAAAAGAAAAAGAAAGAAAGGAAAAAAAAAAATGGAAGTCCCTACAAATAAGATTCCAACAATTTTAATTGTTGGAGCTGGTATAGGTGGACTTAGTTTTTATCATTCTGTTCGAAAAAATCTTGGTAAAAAATTTAATGTTAAAATATTCGATCGTGAAACAAGCCCTCAAGGTTCATTTTTCAATGTTAATTAAATTATTTCTTGAAAAAAATCATAAAACGTTCATTATTCATTAATGTCTAATTAATTACTTTTCATTACTAAAATAGATCGATGGCAAGGTTATAATATTTACTTTAATAAAAAAGGTGTTACCTCTTTATTCTATTGCACACCACCTGAAGTTCAAGCTCGTTTTCCTGAAGCAATACCAGATCCAACTCCTACGGAATGTCATACTTTGGCGCTTACTGATGATGTTGGGAGATATCTACTTTATTCACCACGTCAAAAAACTAAAAACGTCTATGAAATAGAACCTCTTAAACATGATTTTGCTGGTATAGTTGCATATCGCAATATATTAAGAGATGTTTTATTGGAAGGTGTTGATATCCAATGGGGTAAAAAATGTGTTAGTTATGAGGAAAGTGATGGTGGTATTTGGGTATTGTTCGAGGATGGAACAAGAGAATTTGGTGATTTATTAATTGGTGCTGATGGAATTAATTCTCCAAGTATGTTATTCCCAACATCTCTTATCATAAATTGGTTCATTTATCTAATAAACTTTATTGCTTTCTTATTGTATATAGTTCGAAAACAAAAGGTTCCTAATTTAGAAATCCTCGATCTTGGTGTAACTAGTGTCACTGTAGATATTGCTGTACCAAAAAATTTGGCCGACCACTTGATGTCTGTTTACTCAAATTCAACAATACAAGAATCTCTTGGCAAAAATGGCGATTTTCATTTTTCCCTGTTTCGTTTTATACCAATTGATCAATTCGATGAACCAATTTATAGGGTTACCCTTGCATATATTTATCCGACAAAACTTGATATTGAAGAAAATATGTCGATTGACGATGATGATCCTGAATCTGTTATAAAACATACAATTTCAAGAATTAAACAATTACGTCCTCCTTGTGAGTTAACCGATTTATTAATTGAATTATTTTCGTTGGTTCCATTCTCCAATCTGGGCGAAAAGTATCCATTTAGAACATATATTCCTCCACGACGTCGTCAATTTCGTGATATTTATCCATTATCTGTCCCGCCTTGGAAAAATGATAGAATAATTTTGTTAGGTGATGCTGCTCATGCTATGAATCCAATATTAGGATTAGGTTTGTGTTATTGAAATTTTTTTATAAATTAAAAAACAATTATATACTTGTTTTTCATATATATTTTAAGGTGCAAATAACGCAATACAAGATGCCGATCTATTGACCAAAGAACTACTTAATTACGAAAATTATAATTTAGTCGAATGTGTTCGACGATATAATGAGCAAATGCGAGCTCGATCATCTAAAGATGTTATGGAATCACGTGATATGATACTAAAACATCGAGAGCCAGTTGGAAATTTTGGTCTAGTTGTTAGATATTCTATTTTTAGAATTACCAACTTTTTTGATTACATTACTGCATTTTTTAAATTTCATAATTAAGTATAAATCTTATTTACGATTCATTTCATTATTTATCGTATTATTTACAGTGCTACAAAATTATTATGTTTCAATATTTTTCTAATAAACTCAACCTCCCAAAGCTGATATACATGGCGGACAGGATTTGTATCAGTATTGGGAAGTTACCAGATTTGAAAACATTATAAACTATTAGATTTATATATCCTAAATAGACTTGGTAGATTAATTGTTTATCGGTTTGACAGGCTATCTGTTTCAACAGGATCAATTTTGGGTAGTTCAACTGTACTGTAATAAATTATACATTATTGCACGGGTCTTATGTGACAACCCGTGCTTTTTTCATTTACTTATTGGTACGGGATTGTTACGTCAGACACCTTGCAATAACTATAAATTATTATACCGATACGGTATTAAAAATAAAAATATAAATTATCGGACATACCATTTGTAAAATTTTCTGTCAAAACTATATGTGGTCATATAAATAATTTTATACGTAGTAATTATAGCAAAATTTTAAATAGATGCACAACCCTAACGGTTCGATAGATTTGGATAAAATTTTGCAAAAACC